GACAAAATATTCAATAACGGTGCAAAACTAAGCGGTTTTTCGCATGATGTTCATAAAAATAACTATGAGTGATAAATGAATATTTTACAACAAAGAACATTTTTTTCAAGTCCTTCAGTGAATGAAATATGTCAAGAATACTTTTATATATCACAAACAAAACAATAAAACCTTAACAACGATTAATTTAGGAGCAAGATAATATCACCAACTTTACGAAATAGGCACAGCTAGCAACTGGTCTTGGAATTTCACGCCTACTTCCAATTGACCAACTACCTACACTCCAAAATACTCAGTGTCCAAAACGTTAAGATTCGGTTTCCTTGCTCACTGGTTCAAGCTCTGGTTAAGTCGAATGGAAGTAACCGTGTGATCTACAGATGTTTGTTCAAATTCTGAATGTTTGTGCAAATGATTTATGATGTAATGGCACTCAGGATATTAGGAGTTCCACCGGTAAAGGACTGTTGAATTTTTGGAAATTTATTAACCTGTATTTGTGCGTTGCAATAATGTTATTAATTTTATTTATCGACCTTACTTATACTTATCGCTTTAAATTATTTTATTTATTTATTTATTGATAGATTCTTCACAGCTTACAAAACTAGATTAAATATTTTTGTATATTTTGAATACAATTGTATTGATACTCTGTGGCGTCAAGTTTAACAATCGAACATAAGGTCTGATTTGGCTGAACTAAGAAAATAACTTGACGCTCTTTCCTTCCACGATCACTTCAAAGGACACCAATTTAATAAAAAAGCCTGTTTACTGTCTTTATGATTAATTAATTAAGTTTCTATCCTTTACCTACAACCAGACTCAAAGCAACTATGACAGTAAAGCACTTCACAAAGACCCCTCATAATCTTCCAAGCATATTTAACTGCCAACTTAATTATAAGGAACCAAAGTCTACCTCAAGTCGGTCAAAAGACGTTCAGCCTCAAAGGAGTCTGCCCAATTTCTTCAAGCATCCCAATAACCATTAGTAGGACAAAAAGGACCATCTCAAAGACACATCTAATTAAGTAGGAAGAGCAAATCGCGCGCACCGCCGACATCAAAGAGAAGAAAAACAAAGATGCCAGCTCTTACACTAGGCCTATGTGACCGACGTAAGCAAAAATATTAGTGACGTAATGTAAAGGGCTTTTGTGCCTGAGGGTTTTTCAAAATGGGTATTTTGTAGTAATGTACTAATATTCGCTTTGTAATGTTCTGGTGAAAGTTAGATAAAGGTTGATATTTCAACGCATTCTGGACTTGACATAAAATATTTTTTGGTTTCTTTTAATGGGTCTACATGAAGATAATAATAAAGATGACTCAATTATATTCTAAATTTGTTGGGAATTGTGGCAGGATGCTTGTTTTATTACATTGGCTTTTTTGACGACGAAAAAATTCCTTTGATGAATTCTCCTACCCTGAGTAGGCTAAGAGAAAATGTCAGACTCACACTAACCGAAAAACAGCCCGTTCCTTCTCCAACTCCGCGCTGGGGCACATTTTTACGGTACATAATTGCGCTTGCATCCGTTTTACTATACATATATAGGCTTAGGTAATAACTATTGTCGATATTAGTGTAAAGCTGGCCAAAAAAACCAAATGTATGTGTAACACCCATTATCTATTACAAAAAACAATAGGAACACTTCAGAACAATTTCGAAATAAACATCGAGATTACATGCATTTGCAAAATTTAACCAAAATTTTAAGTACGTTAGAGTCATGCTTCGGCACGAATGGGTCGGCTCGACCGAATTGGTACCACGGAATCACAGAAAACCGGCGTGAACCAACCACAGCGTTGTGTTTCGCCGTGTGAGTGAGGTTACCGGATGCCCAATCCTTCCCCTCCCTTAATTCCTAAATCTCCAACACCCTAATCCCCAAAAGGTCGGCAACGCACTCGTAACTCCTCTGTTGCGGGTATCCATAGGCGGCGCTGATTGCTTACCATCAGGTAATCCGTCTGCTCGTTTGCCGATCTATTACATAAAAAAAAACTTCTGCAGCGCTTTCCAGTTCCTACTGCAGAAAAGTAAACGTGATATTTGAAAAGGAAATCGAGTATCGAAAGTTTTTTCCTCGATTCCAGTGTATTTTGTGTGGGTATCTGAAACGTGCGACCCGTGGCGTGTCGCTACAACCAGTCAGCGGCTCAAGTCGCTGGTCGCAAACCAAGCACTCAAACGGCTGGTCGCTTAAAGTTTCAATGTTATTTTTCCATCTGATAACACTTGAGTGTGGGCTATAGAAACAGCGGGGTGGTTTTCTTTTTATGGAGATCGTGTTTTGTTTTTTTTTTCTTTCTGTTGCTTCTTTTATGTTTTTATACAAATTACTAGCTTTGCCTGCGTGGTATGTTGATAAAAAGTAGCCTATGCAGGGTATTACCTATCTACGTACTTAATAAATTTCTACCAAATTGGTTCAGCCGTTTTTGCGTGATGGACTAACAAACATACAAACTTTCACATTTATAATATAAGCAGGATAAGAATATTCATATTTGATTTTATAACGGTCTCTTAATAGCGATATATATTGGGTTGCGGGGTAAGCGCAATGAGGCACCGCGACCTCGGCCCAGAGCAGGAGAAGGAACAGGGGCTTTTTAGTCAATAAGAGTCGAACACTCCCTCCCGCCCGGCCCTGGGCGTGAGAAGTCATTTGATGATTTTCCATTCACAAAAAAAATAGCGATATACAAATTTAATAAATATAAAAAAATATATGCTAAAAAAACTGATAGTTTACGTACAAGGGTTAATAAAAAATTAAGGAAATCATGTTACATACATTTAAAATTATTTATCAATAGTTATAGTAATGACACCGCATTCTCTAAAATGACGTTATGCAACGTTTGTTTCTTAAAATTCATATACATATTAATAAAAAAACAGCAATTCTTGGATCACAATACGTATTACACTCAAACTAACCACCAAAACAGCTTATCGTACAAACAAAAGTTTACAAGCACGAAGAAAAAAAAAATCAGCAAAAAGTTTGAATTTAGAAACATTGAATTTACCAGCGTCTCGCTGGTTTCAGAGCCGAACTCCAACTTGGCCATCGAGTTTGCTAAGTAACACATAAATTGTACCGCGTCTAAGTGCGGGCCACACTTAGCGCAAGTGTGCCGATAGTTTCTGTCTTCCTGGTACATAGCCAAACGTTCCAACTTTAAGTTATTGTAATTTGTACACTGCTACTTACAGTTTTTTAGTTTGATTAGTAAAGTTATTATCACTGAGGAGTTTAGTGCATTTATAAATATAGCAATCATTTTTTTTTTTCAGTATGAGAAAGCCATACTTCGGCAAAAATTAAACCAGATTGATGAGTCGTGAAAACGGTTGCGTTATGTTCCGAAATGTTAGTAAACTTACCCGAAACACAGTCCTTTCCATCCCCTGCCCCTATCTCCTATTGCCAAATCCCCAATAACTTGCAAAATAGTGCACAACGCACTTGTAATTCCCCGGTGTTGTAGATGCCCTTGGATGTTCGTTAATCACTTTAAATCAAAATAGAACGCTTTAATTTTAAAGTTGGAACATTATTTAAATATGGAGAAAATAATAGTCGTTAACTGCCTTGTGTATGGACTGAAGCTGCTATACTCCATCAATAATAATGTTTATGATTTTGAAAAGCATAGAAGAAAACAGAAATGGACAATCCTATATAATATTCTACTCATGTTATCCTTTCTTCATTCAAAATTTTACAAAATTTAATTAAAAATTACGTGAGCTAAAGTTTATACTACAGGGTGATTAAAATTTATGCTATACAGCATTTAGTGTTTCGATAATATACATCCGATCTAGAGAACATTGTAGAGTAAATATTAGTTTTTATTTACGAGTAAGATTGTACAGCTAAGTGGTTCTACAGACTGCTGGCGACAATGTTCTGCGATTATATTAACATTAGTTTATAATTTAATAATAATATTAGGTATTATTACGATGTAGGATGGTTTGCTATTAATTATCATTGTTGTACTAGTTCATATACGCAGTATCATTACTTGTTTTATTTCGACAAAAATATAATATATAAATCAACACAACGTACTACTACAAACAACAGCCGGCTTCATCTAGTTTTTCACATATAAATTGACGTGTAAAAGTGCCGTTTTGTGGCCTATTTGCAAAAATAAATTCATTGTTTCATCAACACAAAATGCACTTTTGTTCATTAAGGGCTTATTTTTTAATGGTTAGATAACAGTTGCCTTGGGAATAATTATGATGCTGTCGCGTCATTATGTTTGTATAAGACTGTGACAGCAACAATTTTATTCCTCATATAACATGTATCTGACTATTGAAAAATCAGCCCTAAAAGTGGCAATTGACTGACTAAAACGTGTCTTACTTATTAATACAAAATATAAAAATATTTTATTCGTCGTAGTTCTCAATTTAACGCCTACGGCGTATCTTTCAATGGAATTGTGACGCAATATCGTTTGCTCGAATTTTTCCATCAGGGGCCTACGCCAGTACATCATCCCAAATACCAACTAAAACAAACAAGTCTGGATCTCCAGTACGAGTCAACACAAGAATCTACTATTCTTCACAATCCATAAAACAAAAGACCAGCCTCTCTTACATAGAGGAGGTACTTCATAAATAATTATTCAAAGCTTGCAAAACATGAGAAAACAAACTAAAAACATACATTGTCCCCGGGCACAAATATTTATGTGCGCTTCGGAGATTCTGAGGTTCTTAGCGTATCAATGTGACAAGGTAACCATCATTATACTTCCATGTTTTGTTGGTCAGACTACTAACAGAATTTTAATATGTATTTGCTAAGAAAATAAGAATTTGTTTGGTTAGGTAATAATTACTTATGGCCCACGTTGACTACGGACTTAAGTACTACGTAATATTATACTGATAATCGATATTGTAGGTTTTTAAGAACATGTCAGCTTGTAATGACCCATTACAGATTAGGTCTATTGCAGATCAAGAGGAATTGGGGAGCCGCCTCTTGTTTCTGCAAAGTAGTCATGCTCGCAAAGGAGGAGGCGGAGCGTGGTAGGAAATTTTTCTCCTCACGCCCCAAACACCCGGGAAGGTGACAGTTCGGGCGTCGCGAATAAAGCAACGATCTACAGCCACCGTAAGCATGGTTCTGCGGCGAAGTCAGCGAGCTACCTTTGCACGTCGCCGACTTTACCAGAACCAGTCCCAGTAGACCACCATACGGAGGTCCACCACAAACGGGGCCCTACAGGGCCAATGTTCAGTCGGGATTACGGGGCAAATACAATAAGGTATCTGAATCTCCACCTGAAGCAAGAGAAAGAACGGATTGAAATTGGATTTAGTAAGTAAGAATCTGACACTTCCTCTCATCTTACTTTTTTTCAGAGAAAATTATCACAGCAATAATTTTCCCGTGCCCTATATATCCGTTTCATACCCCGACGTTATAACAGTGGAATATTCCGAAGAAAAAACGCGCCAGTATGAATATTGACACATTTAATTCCCAAGAGCACGAACGGGGCAGGACTAGAAAATAGAGAATTATCATTTCATGTTCTGTTCCGAATTTATGGATGAAAATTTGCATGCGACTAATGCCCGGTTTCTGAAGGCGTCGGTTATGTTTAAAATAGTTGTTGGTTCAATAAAGTTATCAATAAGATAAACGTCGGTTAACTGTCACTGCGTTTCTGAATACGCAACGAGCCGTTCAATAACTATGTAAAGAATAGTAAGTTTCTTAATTTGCCAATAGATGGGTCATTTAAGGATAACAACTAAATTTTGATTTTATTTATTCTATTTCAGCTTTATTACATGTTTATTAGGTAAATAATTTTTTTTTCAAAGTTTTAAGTTATCAAAAACTGTTTCAATTAAAATATAATGATAATTTGTTATTTAGCATTGGCTGTATTGAACACCGTCTCAGTGTCAATTAGAAAAAAAAGAAACGTCAAACAGACATTGTTGTCGGTTGCTTTGGAAATCGAAAACGATATTATAAAGTAAACTCTTCATCAGTAAACATTTCTAAAGGATTTCTCCTTTGTCTTAAGTTTCTGGGTACAGAAATACAAGAAATAAACTCTAGAACTTCCATATCGGACTCAAATGAACTGCTTGTATTTAATATGATCCTATTCATTGCTCTTCCATAATTAGCAACTAAAGCAACTTTTACTTATTGAAATAATTTTGAAATTTACCACAAAAATTGTATATTAGTTTGACATTCCAAACGTCAAATAAAGTTATGGAACTGATAAACGGCACCAAATGGCGAGTTAAGATAGCTTTAGTTTAAACGGAGTTTATCTATCAATGCAATGCTCAGAAACGTACTTGTAAGAGTTATCGAACCAATAGCGCTATCGAATCGATAAACTGCTGTTAACTGTACCTCAGAAACCGGGCATAAGAAATCTCTTATACTTAGGTACATATTTTCTATACATACTATATTACTTGCTCTATCCCACGATTTAACACCTGTGGTTCGTTGTCTCTGGAGTGTGTGGTCTCAAGAAATACCGGCGAGATATTTAATATCTCTTACGCGAATACTTGCGTTACGTTTCGCCGCAAAATTGAGGTTACCGGAGCCCCAATCTCCATTCTAAATCCCTAACAGACCTAGAAGTCCAGTAACGCACTTATATTGCACGCAACTTGGTGTCCAAGGGCGGCGTCGATTGCTTACTATAAGGTAATCCGTCTGCTCATTCCCCGACCATATAACATTAAAAAAAGCAATCGACGCCGCCCTTGGGCACCCGCTACAGAGGAGTTACGAGTGCGTTGTCGACCTTTTGGTTAGTTTGGTGGTTTGGATTTGGAGATTTAGGAATTGGGGAGGGATTGAATTACCTCCACCGGTAACCTCACTCACACGGCGAAACACAGCGCTGTGGTTGTGTAACGACGGTTTTCTGTGAGGCCGTGGTATCACTCCGGTCGGGCCGACCCAGTCGTGCCGAAACATGGCTCTCCCACACTTGCTTAGCAGCGCCTTTGCCATAGAAATGAAAATTCCCATTAACAAAACAAAGTCATAAACAAAAGCGAATCTATATATAACTATGTAGGTGTAGGTACACATCCGTGCCTATCAGATCATCTCAAACCTGTGCCTGACCCAGGTTGTCAAACTTTGAATACGATGCTTCAATACTGAAGTAGGTTTGACAGCTGTTAGACATATCACGATTAGGGAGTACGGTAAATATTATTCTATTTAATTGAATACTCAAATGACGAGGATTGGCTCTGGAACGATGTGTTTCGAGCCGTATTTATAGAATTACTAGCTTTTGCCCGCGACTTTGTTCGGTCGGCAGAATGACTTCATGCAGCTTTTTGTTAAAAAAACTATCCTAAGTCCTTTCTCGAGTTTCAAACTATGTCTATACTAAATTTTACATAAATAGGTTCAGTAGTTTAGGCGTGAAATAAAGACAGACAGAGTTACTTTCGCATTTATTTTATAATATTAGTTTGGAATTCAAAGTCAGTTCATTTTTTTTTTATTAAAACCAAGCCGCCCCGGCTTCTTATTGGCTTCCTTCCAATGTATAGATGTTATTATAAACATATATAAACATTTCTCTTCAATCACTCTATCTATTAAAAAACCTGCATCAAAACCCGTTGCATATTTTTAAAGATTTAAGCACACATACAGATATTGGGACAGAAACAGCGTTCAGGTTTTATACAATTGTGACTATGAAGGGATAACAATTTAGTCACGTCAGCTAATTAGAAGTGTTCTACCAGTGTAAAGTTATAATTTAACAAAGTATAATTCTATATAAGTATTTGGTTTGTACAAACGCATAATTTGAATAATAGTGGTTAGCTCGTAACTGGATAATGTAAAAGACCTACTGCCTATAGCCAATACTTTTAACTACTTTGTAAGCTGTAAGCCTACCTTATTATAATAAATAAGTAACGTTACTCTTATGTATCATCAGCGTGTGCAGCATGTCTCATAATTATTACTTTTCAAAAATAGTCAAAATTTATTACAATAAGCCCTAGGCACTCTAGTGAAGCTATTTGTTTGTTCCAAAGTCTATACTTTGGAACAATCTCACACTCAATAGTCACCCATGAAATCGCCAAATGTACTAGCCTATTTTTTAATTGTTCTTTTGTATTTTCATGATGGTCTGGAGGTTAAGGCGTCGGCTTCTCATGCATCAGGATGCGGAGACAAGCTCGAAAATCACCAATCCCTAAAATCGAAAACAAGCGCGGTAATTAATGGTCAAAACTTCTCCGTATTAGAAGAGGCCTTTGCCATGCCAGTAGACAGTTATTGACTGATGATATGATATGTTTACCTGTTTATAAATACATATACATATTAAACCAAACAAAACCAAAATAAAATTGCCCAATACAATAACAGTGACCAAAATTAGCGACTAAGTCCACAAAAAAATTGTAACCGTATGGTATTTTCTCAAGCCAGTGTCACGACAAAGCTCGTCTAAGCCAGACAGGTGTTCGAGCTGACAGTAATGAAAATCGGCTGCCAACAATAGTATAGCGGTACCCTCTTCAAGAGCGGCACATATTACTTTCACGCGTCACTCTCTCAGATTTTGTGGTCACTGCGAATTTTTTTTATTGTTATACTTTTGAATGCATTGTGGATAGCGTTCTGTGTCCTTGAAAAAGAAGACTTGGTTACTTATAAGCTTATGGTAATAGTGAACGTTAATTTATTATCATCATCATTTACCTGTGGCCCAATCACTAAATCTGCGAAACCCTAAATCACTTAAACTGGCAGGGACAAAGCGAGTGTCCATGGGCGGCGCAGAATGTTTATCATCGGACGAGTAATGGTAGCAAGGCTAATAATTAAAAATTATGTTGTTAAATTGCCATTCAGATTGGGTGTCAATCTTTTTTTCTTTTCAAAATGTAAAACATTTCTTGGTTTTATGATGTATGACCATAAAAACCTACTGTTTTACTTAGTCCATTGATCGGGCCTAAGATTTCGTGTTCGTAATTTTTAAAAGTATCCAAAACTCCTGATGAAACCGAATTTATTATTGGTATTCTTTAAAACTATTTTTTTTGTCGACATAGTCAATTTCAAGCCAAGCAACTTTGAACTTTATTGCCATAAAAATACATAACAGGCACTTACATTTAAACGTTGAAGTTTTAAGCCGAAACAGATTAAATGAAAGTTGTATAGAGATAAAAATGTAACATGAAACTTGGCATGAAGCCAACCTAAGTTGTTGAACAAAAGGAACTTTTTATACTCCAATCAAAATTGCTTTCCTGATATCTTTTTGTTTGACTTCTGTATTATATTTTTTTGCTTAAAAAACTTAATTGGAGAATTTTTTGGCTATGTATTTTTGAAAAGGATTGGGTTTGGTATTACCATCGGGCAGTTTTTTTAACTTTTGTATGAGTTCGATCAGGTTTGCGACTTTGGATTTGTATTGACAATGTCAGTCACAAGATGTCTATTACAGAACCAATGTCGCTACCTTATTCCTTCATGTCGGACGATAACTCGCCACTTGCATCCATTAACTCCCTGCAACTTTGAAGATGCTATCAGTCCACCTAGTGGTATGATTGCCTACACTACGTCTTCCAGTCCCTGGCCGCCAAGTCGAGCAGTTTTCTGGCCCATCTGCCGTCTGTGTTTGGGTGTTGAACTAACTATTATCCAATCAAATAAAATGTATTTTTTTCAAATTACTCAAAAATGGTCGTGGTATGTGGGCGATTCATATTCTCCCGAAGCATAAGAACAAATAAAGTCATATAAAAACTAATATAATAATGAACTCTTTACATAAATTAAGTATCTTACTTTGGCACGTTTCAATCTAAAATAATTTCGTCTTAATGAGGAATATCCCAATTAACAATACATACTAATAGTCACTATAAATAATTTGAAACCACTAATATTTTTGAGAATCAAACGATAATTATCATTAAACAAAACACGTCAATGAACTAATGATAGTGATTAGCAAATCAAATTAAAGAAAGAAGTTTTTGTCTCCCTTACTGCCTTAGCCTCGTACACTAATAACCGAAGTCTTTAGAAGTTGTATTTTATTTTTACAGTATAAGGCAGCATACAAGCAATATAGTCCCTATAAGGCTGACGTACAGCCCACTCCCTCCCGCCCGACCCTGGGCGGGAGAAGTCGTTTGAAGACTTACCCGCTCAAAAAAAAAAATATTAGCCTTTCGGAGGTTTTGGATTTAAAGATTGAGGGATTTGGGGATAGCTAAATCCTCCTACGGGATTGGGCTTCGGGTGACGTCACTTACACCAGAGTAATTCCAAGGCGGTTTTTTGTGAGGCCGAGATATCACTTCGGTGATGCTATCCCAATCGCGAAACTTTTTGTGTAAGGGGAAATCATGAAATCTTCTCACCCAGGGTGAGGCAATAGGGTAAGTTGTAAGACTCTTACTGATTGGAAACCCCCCGTTCATTCTCCTCTCTAGGCCGAGGCTGCAGTACCTTATTGTGCTTGGCCCACTGACTCTTTTACTCTAAGTCGTATCTTGTAATGTAGTTTTGCAAAACGATCAACCATTAGTTGCTTTCTTTAGAAAGGTTATTTCATCTCCATTACTTTTATACATTAATTTTGACCTCTTTTCCAATTTTCTCCTTAGTTTTATCAAATTGTCGTTCAATAGAATCATTACATTTTATGAGGTAGGTAGGTAGTGTACTTAAGAAAGCTGACTATCATCATAACTCAGCAAATACTCGAAATGTAAGATAAGATTAAAAGAGAGTGCACTTGTATTTCCACATGTATACAATCCACTTACTCCAATTAATAGTCCTGTATAGTTCCTTATAACACTTGAAGATATCATTACAATTGATTTAAAACCAGAATCATTCAATACTAATATTTCTTACATCATTAAATTACAAAACGATTTCAAATAACTCTGCGTCAATATTGACTTCTTTTGATTTGCTTAAGCCATTAGGTGTATACAAATATATCTGTTGGATATGTTTGATTTGTTCGTATATTTTGACACCAGCTGTATTCTAAAATTGTTTTCTCGAACTCAGGAACAAACAAAAGGTAGCAAATCACTACTGTTGCGTCAGTGCGAGTGCAAGAAGAGATCAATTAAGATCAATTTACTACAAGGTATTAATGCACTCGATGCAATAATTAATTGATTGATTGCATTAAGTGGTCCATGTTATGTATAACGTAACTGATGATCTTAATTTTGAAAAATATAATTGTATCTGTTTTCAAATCGTTTAGTCAAAATAAAGCATAATGCCGTATTCTTGGCTACCTAGAGAATATTCGTAGAGAGAGATACATATTTTTTTATGTAATAGGTCGGCAAACGAGTAGATTGATTATCTGCTGGTAAGCAATCAGCGCCGCCGATGGACACCTGAAACGGAGGAGTTACGAGTGCGCTGACGACCTTTTAGGGATTAGGGATTTGGAGATTTAAGGATTGGGGAGGGATTGGGGGAGGGTAAGGATTGAAGGATACACGACGAAACACTACGCTGTGGTTGTTTCACGCCGGTTATCGACCCATTTGTGCCGAAACATGGCTCTCCCACACTTAAACATATTTTCACACACCACCCTCTGTGTGTCGTTGTTCAATCGCAATAAGGTACAGCGGCCTTAGCCTGGAGCAGGAGAAGGAACGGGGTGGTTTTTGGTCAATAAGAGTCTAACACTCTCTCTTTACCGGACCAGAGAAGTCATTTTATGACTTTTCTCCCTCAAAAAAACCCTTGTTGTTATTTTTGAGAATATTAGAAAAATGCCGAATATTTTTGCTCGAATCGAACCCGACCTTGATACCAATCAACCAATATACATTGACTTGTACTATCTAACACACTACACTACACCGGACGGGTCCAATTTTGTGTAATTTGGGACCCTAAGAATGATGCAATACGTACGAGACATTGAAAAATTCAAACTATGCAATATATTTGGAGTATGAGTCATATAACAGGTATTATATTCTAAGTGTGTATGTACACAATCCATTCTTATATGATCTATGTTTATTTCACAAAGCTGCTAAATTGCTTAGCCAATTATGATGAAAGAACACAAAATATTATTGTATTATAGTGGCTGTAAGCATTTATAATATACAAATATCAATTAATAAAATGTCCCTTTGGTTGCTTGTAATTTACTTTTGTTCAACATATAAAAATAGTTCTTTTTTTAAATAGGAATCAGTCTAGATTATCTAATACTAAAAGTCTTCTATCTTTTGTTCAGCACAAGTAATTATACAAATAGTTCATTTTTTTAAATAAGAATCAATCTACGGTCTACATATTAGAAAATACGAAATACTTCTACCTACTCAAACTATGAGGTAGTGAATGTACCAAAAATAATCATAGAATTATGAGTGCTCCTCATACATCACTTATACTCATTAAAATTGTCATTACAAAATACACATTAGTTAATCAATTTCTATTATAATTCCTTAAAGTCATTGGCAAAATTGAAAAGAATAAATACATTAGGTTGAATAATGAATTATTAAGTGCACTCACTTAATAATTCATTATATTTTTATTTAATTTAAATCGAGTAAACACAATAATATCTTAGATATTGACACATCTACTTATTCTCAAATCGGTGCGTTTAAATATAGCGGTAGAGCCACCGCTATCAATCAGTCGTAACTTGACCTTAGTGGGTGCGTCGCGTCGCGTATCGTATCAATAATGTTGTTCACGCTCGTATTTACAATAACAATATTGTGTTATGTGCTAATACATACAAAGTTTTTCAACAAAAGTTATTGGAAGAAGAAAAATGTAGTGCAAACCGATTACAATTTGATGCTGAAATTCATATTCGGGAAACAGTCAATGCCAGAGATATTGAAGGACATTTATGATGATCACCCTGACGCACTTTATGTGGGAACTATAGCTGGGACGACACCAACGCTGATCCTCAAGCATCCTGAAGACATCCAAGCAGTCTTGGCTGGTGATTTCCAAAGCTTCCACAGTCGAGGCATTAAGTTTGGACCCCACGATCTACTAGCTGATAATTTATTGTTCATGAATGATGTTAAAAGATGGAAACTCTTGAGGAATAAACTAAGTCCAGTTTTTACAACGTTCAAGCTCAAATATATGTTCAAAATAATAGAAAAGGTTGCTCGGGACTTTGTTGAAGTGGTTGAAGACGATATCCATCTGCGACAAAACCCATTTAACATTCTATACACTTACACAACCGCATCCATAGGAGCATCAGTGTTTGGTATTGATACGCAGAATAATCGGAACGCTATGGATTCACCATTCTTAGAGATGACGAAGAAGACTCTGGAACCATCTTTGTATGCAAATATCGCTGCTTTAATTGCAAATTCAAGTCCAAAATTATATGATTTTTTGAACATCAAAGTTTTTGGAGAGCATGAGGAATTTTTTATTGGTGCTGTAAGAGCGGTCCTTGAAGAAAGAAAGCGCACAACTGTTAGAACACATGATTTTATTGACCTCTGTTTGGGCTTACAGCTCCACGGATACATGCACGACTTTACAACAAATTATAGTTTAGAACCAACTGTAGAAGTTTTGGCTGCTCAAGCATTTTTCTTTTTCCTCGCTGGTACTGATACCTCAGCTAATACCATGCATTACACTCTTATAGAACTTTCTAATAATCCAGAAGTGTTAGCAAAAGTGCATAAAGAAATTGATAGAGTATTTGAAGAATGCAATGAACAGTTTACTTACGATGAAGTAGAGAAATTGCAATATTTGGACCAAGTGATTAATGAAGCTATGAGAAAGTATCCAACAATTGGTGTTATACAAAGGCTTTGTACTAAAAGTACAGTTTTGCCATCTGGAGTAGCTATAGACAAAGATGATATTGTAATGATATCACCATATGCCTTGCATAGGGATGAGAAATATTTCCCGGAGCCTGATAAGTATGATCCAGAGAGATTTTCTCCAGAAAATGTTTCTAAAATACCAAAATATGTATTTTTACCCTTTGGAGAAGGAAACAGAATATGTATTGGTAAGTTTTTTTTTGTTTTCCTCCTCTTGTCTTAGGGCCCTTTAGACAATAACTACAAAAAACAATTTAGCATCTAATAATGCCATACTCTTTGAATCCCAAACAGCAATGTAAGCTAAAACCACTACTCGTACTACTCATTCAACATATTCATTAAGAAGTATTATTAAACGACTGATAAAAAGAAATAACACTATTTCTCAATATTTCACAAGAGATTGTTTGTTTGCAAGCTTCATATTACGAAAGTCAAACAAAGGTATACCTAATTACAAAGTTGATAAAGTAGCAATTAATGACAAGATAAGAAATTTTTGATAAGGGTTCATGTGAATATTCTCTTTGAAGTCTAATTAGACGTTGTGTACTTAACAATAATTGATAACCGAATCATATCAGACTGAGAGCTTGTTTCACAATGTCTGGATAGTCACTATCTAACAGATAAATGCAAAAACAAAAGGTATATTTTCATATGCCACATAAAGTTATCGAGTACTTATAAGAGGGTAGTGAAGGGTAGTGTTAGATGTTCTTCTTCTATTTTTGTTCCAAAGGCATTTTTTCTTTATTCGTATTGTCTTTGCGCTGAATACCAGCCCTAGTTGGTCTAATCTACTGTGGCCTGGTGACGATTAAAATTAAATTCTATTTTAAGAAGATTACGATTATTATCACCTTATTTATTTTCATTTCAGGTGTACGGTTTGCCCGTCTCCAAGTAAAAGCTGGACTCGCGTGGTTGTTACGTCGCTTCACATTGGGTGAACAGAATTGCACTCCGAAATTTGAACGAAGTCCCTTCGGATTAAGAAGTCCCACTGATCGCTATGAATTGAAACTAAGAGATTAAAGCTAGATGTATTAAGACTGATGAAGAGACTAATAAAGTGATAATTATATAGATGAACATTCAAAACAAAATAAAAAAATATTGGTATCAGATTATGAGATTACTAGAAGGTGCAAATAGTATTTTTTTTTATTTGTTAGGGAAAAAAATACTAAGCTTAACTTAAAATTAATATAATATTGTAAACATTAAATGTTTGTTTGTTTGTTTGAACCCGCTAATCTCTGGAATTACTGATTCGAATGGAACAATTATTTTTGTGTTGGATATATAGTAGATTTATCTAATAAGACTATAAGCTCCATATAAGATCCATAGGAGCTAGAGGACACTTTTTTTTTTGATGAGGGAATACCTTCGAATGATTTCTATCACCCTTATTTGGGCGAGAGAGAGAGTGTCAGACTCTTACTGACTCAAAACATCCTCGTTCCATCTCCTGCTCTCGACTCTAGTATAAAATTAATAATTGTTGCGCTTAACCCGCAACCACGGCTGGATAGAACAAACGTTAAAGATCTACGTGATCGGTTCAACTAGAAAAAGGTTTATAGAAAATAAATACTTACGCGCGTTATTAAAGTATTATTATTTAATTATGTCGATTGTAGAATATTTATTAATAACGAGCTTTTACGCGCGGTTTCGCTACCTACCCTACCTACCCTACCTACCCTTCCTACCCTACCTACCTTACCTACCCTACCTCCCCTACCTACCCTACCTACCCTGCCTACCCTACCTTCACTACCTACCCTACCTACCCTACCTACCCTTCCTACCTTACCTACCCTACCTCCCCTACCTACCCTACCTACCCTGCCTACCCTACCTTCACTACCTACCCTACCTACCCTACCTACCCTTCCTACCACCCTTCTTACCCTACCTACCCTACCTACCCTACCTACCCTTCCTACCACCCTTCTTACCCTACCTACCCTACCTACCCTTCCTACCACCCTTCTTACCCTACCTACCCTACCTACCCTACCTACCCTTCCTACCACCCTTCTTACCCTACCTACCCTTCCTACCCTACCTACCCTACCTACCCTACCTACCCTACCTACCCTACCTACCCTACCTACACTACCTACCCTACCTACCCTACCTACCCTACCTTCCCTACCTACCCTACCAACCCTACCTACCCTACCAACCCTACCTACCCTACCTACCCTACCTACCCTACCTACCCTACCTACCCTACCTTCTCTACCTACCCTACCTTCCCTACCTACCCTACCTACCCTACCTTCCCTTCCTACCCTTCCTACCACCCTACCTACCCTACCTACCCTACCTACCCTACCTTCCCTACCTACCCTACCTTCCCCACCTACCCTACCTACCCTACCTTCCCTTCCTACCCTTCCTACAACCCTACCTCCCCTACCTACCCTACCTACCCTTCCTTCCCTACCTACCCTACCTACCCTACCTACCCTACCTTCCCTACCTTCCCTACCTACCCTACCTTCCCTACCTACCCTACCTTCCCTACCTACCCTACCTTCCCTACCTACCCTACCTACCCTACCATCCCTTCCTACCCTTCCTACCACCCTACCTACCCTACCTACCCTACCTACCCTACCTTCCCTACCTACCCTACCTTCCCTACCTACCCTACCTTCCCTACCTAACCTACCTTCCCTACCTACCCTACCTACCCTACCTTCCCTTGCTACCCTTCCTACCACCCTACCTACCCTACCTATCCTACATACCCTACCTACCCTACCTACCCTACCTACCCTACCTTCCCTACCTACCCTACCTACCCTTCATACCCTTCCTACCCTTCCTAGCCTACCTACTTTAACTGTAAAAATAAAATAAAGATATAAAAATACTATCGGTAGGTATCTACCTGACGAGTTCTGTGTGTAATATCAACGAAGCTACTAGCTATTACTACTTAGCAAAGCAAATAATACAGGGTGTAAGGGACAGCCTTCCGCAAACTGATAGGGTGGATTCAGTATATCGTCTTAAGTTGACCGGTACATGAAATTATTTCAGGAACGTTATGGGAATCCAATTAAACCGATTTGTTTCATTACCTTACACGCAATGTATCGCTACCACCGCAAACGCACGCAGCGAACGGCAGCGCTTTTAGTATTATTACTTTACACTATGGGCAGCGCCGCGACCTTACGTTCAGACAAACGGTCGCGCTCGCGCCACGTTTTAAAAACAATAAATTATTATTTAAAAGATAGCCGCATTACTTACAAAAGACAATGTAATAATCGCGCTCGCGCCACGTTTTAATAACAATATATTATTATTTAAAAGATAGCTGCATTACTTACAAAAAAAATCTAACAATCATAACATGGTAACTGATAAATGATAAAAAAAGAAAAATGCGTAGGTACCTTAGAATCGCTCCGGTTTCCGGCTCTGGAAAGCATTTGTAATGCGGTCTCGCATTTCGTACTCACTTGCACACGCACTCACAAACACTTTTTCTTTTACGTAACCCCACAAAAAGGGGTCCAAATGGGTTAGGGTTGGGGATCGTGCTGGCCACGGTTGCGGTCCAAACCTACCTAAGCTACGTTTAAATAGGAAAGCACTGGTAAGTGGTAGCGTCTCGTTACGTTAGCGAACCAATTCCAAAATCCACGTAGGTATTGGTCTTCCGGCGCCTTTTTGTCTGGGAACAATGGGCTGGTTTTCTAGCAAGCGTTGATAGTCACCAGTAATTATCCTGGAGTCTGATGGATGGCGACGGTCAGGATACCTACACTACTACAACACATTATCATCTCCCCATAATCACGCGCGCTAAACGTACCTAGGTACCTAGTAATTTCGCACAATTTCTACAACAAAACTTCACTACACTTCACACACTACATAACTAATAAAACTTAACAACAAAACTTTTAAGCCGAATGCGCGAGCGATCCGTGCCGACACACGCTCGCGGTACACAAACAATAACATCGCAGCAAGGCACAATGGCGACTGCATGTGATGAGACGCACACAAACAAATCTGTTGTTGCCAATTACACGAAAATTACAAAATTTCGGGGTAAAAAATAAAAAATTATGCATGGTCGTAATTTATCATTCTGTTATTTTTTGTAGAGAAATGAATTGATTAAATCAATTTAATTCTAATTTCATTGTTTAGTTAATTTAGAATAATAAAAGTGCAGTGTGATAGAAAGCTGTGCTTCCATTCCAGGGAGATTGTGTTTAATTTCTGGCTCGACTATCAATTCATGGCTATTGTGAAGCCATGTAAAAATCTGTAAGTAGTTTAAAAACTAGCCAGTAATCGCTTAAAAAGAACAATCAATTAATAAATTAGGTAGTATTTGTAAATGCTTTAAAATTAAAACTAGACTAATCTTTATTTATTTCTTATTCAATTTATGTGCGCGACAAGATTTTCATTAATTGATTAATGAAAATCTCATCAACGTAATTATGAATGCAAAGGAGTTCTCAAGTTTTAGATAAATTTCGCTAGTTCTAACATTTTCGTTTACTACCTGAGGTAACAAAAGTAAAAAATTGGCAACACTGGTTCAATCGGGCAAACATTGTGCAAAGAATCGGGGAGACGGGGAGACGCGGAGGCGGGGCGATAGAAAGGGACGCAGCTATTCTGTACGTTGGACGGGATCGTAGGTATTATACCTACGGCGCGCGGCGCGGCGATCGGCGCGGTGGGGCGCCGAGCCGCTGCGCCGTGACCGCGATGCGGTGAGTTCAAACGACTCGCGCTAGGTAGAAATTGAACAGCTGATTTCATGCGTAGTTCTTTAGAGAATTCACACAACCATTGCGTATTTTTTTGTTTTAGCTGTGTTATTTACATGAATGTTATTCTTCATACATAGAATGTAATTATACATTGAAATAGAGGTGTAGGAACTGAAAAAAGGAAAAAAAAATGAAAATTTTCCTGAAAGAATTTTCACTGGAATATGATTCAGAATAAGGAGCTGAATGCACCTTGTTAATTTGTGGAGGGCTGTCCCTTACACCCTGTATAGTGTATGTGATAAAACTACAAAATTGTTGACGCGTCTATAATGGCGCTCTATTACGCAATTTAAACTGTATAAATAATAATATGTTATGTGGCCACGCACATCGAAGATCGATTGAAAAAGCAAACTGATGATACTTCCAATGATACAATACAGCACGCGTGAAGTTTTGCGAACTATTAATGATGGATATGATATACCAAGGTACACACACAACAAATACAACTATTGGACAGTAGCTCTTTAAGCATTTAAACATTATTTTACCTTGCCTTGTCGTGGTAGTTCAGAGTAAAAGCCACTCGCTTCTCATACATGAGGGTTCAGAAATTGGCAAGTACCAGTGTGACTTTTCCAATTCATATGTACTTTTTGAGATTCTATGATGATTATTATACATAAAATCTAACGTAATCATCATTATTAAAATGATAAATTATGAGTGATAACATGCATTAGATACCTCAGACTTCGGCATGAATGGGCCGGCTCGACCGGAATGATACCACTGCCTCACAGTAAACCGGCGTGAAGCAACACTTAGGTTGTGTGTGGTTACTGGAGGCCCAATACTTCCCATCCTCAATCCTCAAATCCCACAACCTTAAATATAAAATAACATACATTACGCTGACAACGCACCTGCAGTATTCTTAGATATTTGTAGTGTCTATGGACGGCGCTGATTAGGTAATCCGTATGCTCGTATGCTCGTTACCGACCTATGATATACAAAAAAAGTCAGTTTTGGGAGAGCCAAGCTTCGTCACGAATGGGTCGGCTCGACCGGAGTGGTACACGCCTCACAAAATAACCCAATCAAATCCAATCCCGCCCCTTCCCCTATCCCTTCCCGATCCTTATATCCGCAACCTCTATCCCAAAGCCGACAACGCACTCGTAACTCCTTTGGTGTTGCGGGTATCCATGGGCGACTTGTACCATAAGAAAAGTCAATCGATTCTTTTTCCGCCTTAAAAATAGAATTAAAGGTATCATTGAAAAACTTAATTTGGT